AAAAAAACGCAAAAGCAGGTAGATTTTCAGATGACAATGTTTTTAAACTGTGTTTAACCCGAACGGAAAGTAGTCAAAAGCTGCTTCTTTTTACTTTTGGAAAATCCCGAAAGTAAAAAGAAGCAGCTTTTGACTACTTTCCGTTTGGGTTAAGCACAGTTTAAAAGTGATGTGTGTGAAAATCTACCCACTTTTGCAGGTTTTCCCCACCTTTTAAATCCCATTTCTGTATGGGATTTCCCCCATGTGATAAGATCCATAGAGTCACCATAAGTCGGAAACTACTTCACGACACACAACAGCTACAACAATAGCATCTCATTGGCGCTAAATCTAGAAAAGGCCACTGAAGCATTTTAATTATTCTACCTTAATTTTGAAGAAAATAAAATAATAATGGGTTTCCTAGAAATTATAAACAATTCAGAAGGCAAAAAAATTCTAAACAAAGCTGCTGCCTTCAAAACCATAATGCCAATACTTTATCCCATTTACGAATGTGCCTTATGAATGCATATTATTATTTTGTTTTCATTTTATTAAATTACAGGAATTGATCTGTGATTCCCAAATTTCCCCCCAAAAAAATCTGTATTAAGTTGCTCCTGAACCTAGATATGTTTACCTCTTTGTTTTCATTATCACTGAATATCCTGTGTGGTATAGTGTCAGGAGTGCTGAACTTCAACAGGATGCTGTGGTGACATAGGGACATTTATTATCTCTCAGCCAAGCCTACCTCACAGATCTGTTGAGAAGATAAAGCAAGACTGGGCTTTGACTCAGGTCCTTGGAGAAAGGCTAGGATTTAAAACGTAATGCATAATATTGCCCAAACATGTCTACAAAATCAGTGCGGCATTTGTAACAGTATGAACCTATATGTATTTAACCAGGAGACAGCATACTTGTCTGGGAATAAGTCCTGTCAAACTCAAGTTGGCTTTGCTAAGTAGATATGTATAAGATAGTACTGTTTGTAAAAACGTTTATGTCAGTCTAGTTCAGGGGTAGGCAACCTTTTTGAGCCAGGGCCGGGTTGCTGTCCCTCAGACAATTGGGGGGCCGAAGCACCAAAAATAAATAAATAAATAAATAAATAAATAAATAAATATAAAAATAAAAATTTTTAAAAAATTAAAAATATGCATGCACACTCTCTCAGCCCCAGAAAAGCCATGGCAAAACCCCTGT